CAAGCGCACCGCCCTCCTCGGCGCCCGTGCCCCCCGCCCGCCCCGGGCACGCGCCCCTCAACCTCTGCAGCACGTGCACCCGCCCGCGTCCCCGCGATGTGCTTTCGCGTTTGGGTGGGTCAGATTTTGACCTGGACAGCCAGACTTCCCGACCGTTTTGTGGGGGCCTCCTGGAGGCCATGGAGCCCGTGCCACCTCCAGCCGGCTTTCCGGTAGCCCACAGAGGGTCGTGGCTGTTCCTGGAGGGAAAGAGCTGACCCGTAAGGGTTATGGGGCAGGGCAGAAAGAACGTGATGGGAGGTGCATGTGTGACCAAGGACACACCTCCCAGCCTCTCTTGCAGCTAGGGCAGTCACATGTCACAGTCCTGACCAATAAAGTGTACACAGGGGTTGTGAGTGGGCATCCAGGAGGGTCTGAACAAAGGCCCCAGCCCTCTCACCCTTCCCTGGTCCTCTTCTTGACTGGGTGGGGCCCTGGTGGTCAACTTGGGATCATAAGGTGGCCATCAAAAAAGTCCTGGAAACCACAGCCCTGACACCCTAGAGCTGCCAAAGCAATTCTCATTATGTGGGAGAAATAATACTCCAAAACTGTCCTCTAATTTCCTAACTCTGGCCAATGGTAGGCACTCCTTCCCTGGGGAAGCTACTGATGGCCACCACATCCAACTTAAACCTGGGCCTCACCTGCCCCAGGCAGGCCAATGAGACCCACGGAGAAACCGGGCCTGGTGAGGACACTTCCTCATAGTTTTCTTGTCTTCTTGGCCTAGGGTGTGGCTGGCACTGGCTGCAAGGCCCCCATTTCTAAGGCAAGCACTCATTTTCTCATGGATTCTACCATTTAATCTCCAGTGGAGCCAGTTAAGCTGCCTGCTCTATTGTCAGTTGGTTTTTGTGGGCAATGGATGGGCTGGGGGTTGACCCAATGAAGACCCACTCCCTCTTTCCTTCATTACTCATCGGCCCTGTGGCCAGGGAGGTAGGGTTTCCCACCTATCCAAAGTTAAAAGGCTTTCTCCAAGTTTTGTAACAGCTTGTACTTTATTACATATGCAACCCTGCCATACCTGCCAGTTGATCCCCCTCCCTCCAATGTTATCCTTGAGATATCAGCCCCCTCTTGGGGCCACTGAGCTCCCCCGCTTTCCTTCTGGGGTGGGGTGGTGGCATCCCTGAAGCAGGCAGTGGGCAGGGAGAGATTCACAATTGTTCATTGTAGTCCTCTTAAAAGTATTTACAGTTAAATAAGCACCCTTGGGAAGTGGCAAAGGATATTCAGGATGGGATGCAGTGACAGGCTACACCTCATCCACGGTACAGGTTGGAATGAACTAAGGCTGCTCTATCTTGGGCCTCAGAAGGTAGAGAAGGTGGAGTTCATTCTGGGATTTAGTGCAGGTGGGGCCCGTCCTCCCCAAACTTGTCCTGGTGGGCGATGTTCTTCACATCTACAAGAGCCTGAGGAGGAGGCAAGAACAGGGTAGGTGAGAGACAGTGAGGACCCCTCTCCCTCAGCCAGGAGGCTGCCCCCACTCCAGCCCTCAACCACTGTGTCCTGGACTATCCCACAGCCCCACACCACACAAAATATTCACATGAGGCAGCTGTGCAGAGGGGTCTGTGTTCTCCCCTTACCCGATCACAGAAGGGGGGTGGGGGAGGTGAGTGTGCACATGTCAAAGGGTCTTCCCAGGGCCTACCTGGTGGTGGACATAAGCCTGACAGAGGTAACACCAGGCAGACAGGTCAACATAGCTGAGGACCAGCGGGTGTCCAGAGGCTTCATGGTGTTGGATCATATGGGCGTTGATGTAACGACTGCAGTAGACCTGAGGTTGGGGAGTAAGTGTCAGATGGGGCTCAGCACCCACCTATGGTTTGCTCCTGGGCCAACCTTCACCCCATCCCCTTCCTCTGCTCCGTACCTCATAGCAAGACAGACACACCCAATTCTCCTGGTATGTTCCACAGTCCCGACAAGGTTGGGTAACATTCAGGCCTGCTGCAGGTATGGGGCATACTGCCACCAAATGGGGACACCAGGACAGTGGTGTCACAGCATAAAATGTGACCTGGGGTGGGTTGGTAAAACTGAGTAAACTGGGGGCCCCATTTCCCCGTGATATGTCCCTACATCACATGTTCTTATCTGGAGACACAAATGAACAAGAGAAGGAAGCCACAGTACCAGCCTCTCCCTAAGTTCACCTGGTCAGTGTCAGCAAGGTCCACAAATCCCTGCATCGACATCGAATCATCTATGTCCTGACCTCCAGCTGCCTCTCCTGGTAGGCTCTCCTCTTCTGGGGTCTGAAATTCTAGGGCCTCCTGGATATACAGAAGCAAAAGATATATCAGAGACACCCGATTCTTGCCCCTTCCTTCCCCTACATGGTTGTGGGGAGCCTTACCTGAGCTTTGTTGCCAAGTTCCAAGGTCCTGAGACTCCTAATCAGCATACTGGGACATGACTGGGGTGTGGCTCCCTGCATGAGTGAGACTGGGGGGGTCTGGTTGTCTGTGCATGAGGCTAGAGGAGTTTGGATCAGCTCAGCATCCCCCACAGCCTTCTCTGAGGTGTTCTGGTCCAGCGTGGCTCCCCCAGTAGCTGCCTCTGAGGTGGTCTGGCTCAGTGTGGCTCCCCTCAGAGTCTTCTCTGAGGTGGTCTTTTCCAGCATAGCTCCCCCAACAACCTCCTCTGAGATGGTCTGGTCCAGCGTGGCTTCCCCCATGGCTGCCTCCAAGGTGGTCTGGTCTGGCATGGCTCCCCCTGTGGCTGCCTCCAAGGACTGATCTTGAATGAGTGCCACCACAGCTGTCTCTGACATAGTCTGGCCTGGAGTGAACTCTTCCACAGATAACTCTGAGGTGGCCTTCCCCATGCCTGCTTCCAAAAGGCTCTCTTCTGTAGTGGTCATCCCCTTAGCAGACTCAGGATTGGCTGATTGGGGAGTATTATTGATGACCGACTTAGAACTGGAGGTTCCCTCCTTGTCTTCTACCTCTGGAACCACGGAGGGAGATCATTGAGTGTCGGTGCTATCCCCTTTCCTGCCTTAAATTCTTGTTCCCTCTGGCCCCTCTCCTTTCCTGAATCCCCCCATTGCTCCCAGTCCCGTATCTACTCACTCATGACCCGCAAGCTGCGCCAGTATCTGCGATGGACTTGGATGGTCTCAGTGATTGAGGCCAGGGCCCTTGACTGAGGGGGTCGCTGCAGGGCCAGCAGGGGTGGTGGGTCTCCAAGGAGGGAGCGGGTGCAGGCGGCCATGGACTCCGAGATGGATGTCAGGTTATAGCCACCCTTTGTTAAGGAAAAGGGGAGGTAAAGTCATGGTGGGGGTTCATCAGGGAATCTGGAGGGCAAGATGTCCTGTGTCCCCAATTTTCCCCACTTCCCAGGGCCCTGCAAGTCTGGAGTGGGGGGTCCTGGAACAAGTGAGTAGAACCACAGCGGTAAGACAGGCAGCACACATGGTATGAGGTGGTTGTTGGGTGGAGGGGATAAATTGCTTGTGATGTAAAGTGCGAGATAACAATAACAATACTGATAATAGCATTAGTAATAGTCGATATTTATTATAGTGTTTGTGCCAGACTCTATTTTAAGTATTTCATGCATATTAACTCAGTTAGTCATTACAACCACAGGTGCTCCATGTGTACAGGAAGCTGTCTTCATACCACATAGAAATCTGTCTTCACACTGTCCAGGGATCCCTGCCCTCACACCAGACAGAAACCACTGGCCTGACCTGCACAAGATGCCTGCTGTGAAGGCATACAAAAGCCCCTGCCCTGACCTAGGACAGGAGCAAGTAGTCTTTCTCTCTACATGAACCCCTCTCCTGACCTTTTTCACACTCTACATGAACCCCAGTCTCTACTCTTTTTACAGATAAAGAAACTGAGGCTCAGAGTGGTTAGATGACTTGTCTGAGGTTACAACAGCTGAAGAGGCAGCACTGGGGTTTGAACCTAGGCTATGTGACAAAATAACCACCACCCTGCCCTGCCACTAGCAGTCCTGGGCACACTGCAAGTGAGACTTTTTGCAAGCCAGTTAATTTCTCTGTGACTTGCATTCTTCATCTGTAAAGTAGTGAAAACAACAGCACAGATTGTTGAGAGGGTTAAATTAATATCTGAACAAGGCATAATAGTAAGAAGATACAGCATTTACACAGGGCTTACCATACGCTAGGCACTCTTTCATGATTAGCCAGCCCCATCTTTTTTTTTTTGTCTTTTTGTCTTTTTTCGTGACCAGCAACAGATCGCAACCCTCAGTGTCGCGCCCGTACCGGACCGGGACCGGCAATGGGATCGCAACCCTCAGTGTTGCTCCCGCACCTCGCTCAGCCAGTGAGCGGCCGGTCTGTATGTGGGATCTGACCCCTCGGCGGTAGTGCTGCCGCGCTTCCCAAGCGGCACACTGTAGCAGTGCGCCACCGGGCCGGCCCAAGCCAGCCCCATCTTACAGATAAGGAAACTGAGGCACAGGGGACAGGGGCACTGAGTCATTTACTCAGGTCAGTGAATTCACTTTGTCCCAGCAACTTGTTAGAGGCAGCTCAGGTAGTGGTAAAAAGTTCAGATCCTAGAGCCAGGCTGCATGGGTTCAAGCTTTGGTTCTGCTATTAGTGAATGTGCGACCTCAGGCTAGTCACTATACCTCTCTATGCCTCAGTTTCCTTGATCTTGAGAGAGGAAAACAATGAGACGAGCAGATCCTACCTCATAAGGCTGCTTTGTCAAGTAAATGAATTAATAATACGTACAAAGTGCCGAGAAGAGTGCTTCACACACAGTGAGCACTCAATTAAAGCTGTTAATGTTAGTGCTATTGTTATTACTAATGCCTAGTATGTGCCAACAATCCTGGAGGGGAAACTCAAAGGGGGTTTTAGGAAAATGCCGCGAGTGACACTCTTCCAAACTACCTTCTCGCCAAGGGAAGAGTGTTGAGAGAGTCTTACCTCTAGGATCAGGATAATGTGGCCATTGGCAAGGCCCATCAGCAGGTGGGTAAGATGGGCATAACCCTCAGGCGACACCTGGCAGCACCCGAGTGGGTCCCCCAGGGCGGCATCAAAGCCAGCTGAGACCAGCACCAGTTCTGGGTTAAACTGAGGCAAGGAGAGAAGAGATACATGGGCATGAGGGTGGGGGCTTCAGTAGGCAGTAAATGATGGAGACAAGGACAAATGAAGACATGGAGATGCAAGTCAGAGAGATGGAGACTGGGAGACACGAGATGAGAGACCTGAAAATAAGGATGGGGAAGACAGGGAAACATAAGAAATAGACTCAGAGACATGGACACACCAGACACAGATGTAGAGATGGAGACAATACAAATGGACAGACGGGGACATGGAACATGAGACATGGAGACTCAGATGTCAAGAGATGGTGACATGAGAAACAGACAGAGACAAGCCCTCACTCACATGTACCCCAAGGTCAAACACAGGATATACATGCAGAAGATACAGGGTTCCATACACAGTGCCAAAGAGGCACACGTACTCTCCATCACAGAAGATGCGAACGCAAGCACTGCACACGGATCGGATGGCCACGGTAGCCGCACATACCTCCCAGTCAGACAGCCCGGCACACATAACTGCACATCCGCCACAGTCATGCGCACACACAGTTTCTCAGAGGGCCAATAACCCACAGCCACTCCTGCAGAGTCACAATCACATGCGTGCCATCACCACACAGCCACAAAGGTCACACACACTGTTGCACCCACAGGAAGTGGTCACTTGCACACACAGCTGCACACACACAGAAGGTGGTCCCAGACACCCGTGCAGAGACACTTGTGTAGATCTGAAAGTGCACACAGAGCGGCACTCACATGCCTGCCTCACAGAATCAGTCACACACATGCCATTGGTGCCCCCAGCTCACCACAGGTCAGAAAGACACACACACACACACACAGCCAGGGAAGACACAGAGATGGCTGCCATACATAGCCTCCCATATCCAGAGGGTGCCACACAGGCTGTCACACAGAAAGCAGCATACAATCATATACAATGTCACACCCATCACACAGAGGAAAGATGGTGACAAAGAGTCACCTGTGCAGAGATTTGCACACATGTACTAACCCCCCCCCCCTTGTACATGCAGTTCCACAGATGCGGCATCACCCATGGCCACCTTCACGCCTACACAGGCACTCATGATGGCACACACATGGGACGTGGATCCAGCCAGGACACACAGGCCATCGCTGCACAACCCAAAGGCCCTCACGCACAGAGCCACTAGAGAAAGTCATCACATACACAGTCAAGATAGTTGTTCACACACACAATGCCACACAGAGAAGGCAGTCATGTATAGCCACCTGTGCACAGTCAGACAAATATGCAAGGCCATCACAGTCACCTTCCCCCCACCCCACAGCCGTCAATACAGCCATTCACAGTGGTTGTCACCCGGCAGTCAGACACACACTGAGGAGGCAGGCCACACTGCCACCTGCACAGGCATGTCCCAGGCATCCAGAGCCATACCTCGTAGGCAATGGGAAGCACCAGACGATGCCAGGCAGTCAGGTAGTCAGCATCACCCATGTGGGGCCCATTCCAGGCCACGTTGACAGTGAAGCCTGTGCCTGCAGCCCGGCCCACCTGGCTGCTGGCGCCCTCATCCCCCACAGGGAAGAAGGTGCCACGATCATAGCGGTGCAGGGACACATATAGCACACTGCAGGGAGGGCATGGGGAGGGGCCATGGCTGCTTAGGGGCCCCCATGTCTCTGAGGCATGGCTTGCCCTCCTCCCTGGCCACACCCTTGCCCCTAGCCCCAGCCCCTCACCTCTGGCCCCAGCCCCTCACCTGGGGTCCTCCTCAAATATGTGCTGAGTTCCATTACCATGATGGACGTCCCAATCCACGATCAGGATCCTGAGGGGGGGGGACAGCTCCTCAACAACCCGGGACACTTGCCCCAGGGAGAGGGCTGGGGCTAGACTCCTGGGGTCCACAAGGGCATTTATTGCTAGGGGACAGGACCCTGCATTTCTTGAGAAAGAGATGGGTGTCAGGCTTCCGGGTCCTATCAGTGCAAGGCTGAAAGCCCGATCCTGGGTCCTGAGGGCTTTGCAGTGGGCCTGAGTAAAAGTTGGGAGCTGGACCCTGGGCTCTTGTGGGTAATAACTAGGGAATTGGACCATGGACCCCAGGGTGCTAAGTGCCAGGGGCTGGATCCTAGGTCTTTTGGGGTAAGCACTGGGGGCCTGGACCTGGGTTCTGTTGGTCAGGATAGCTGTTAGGGGCCAGAGAGGCTGGGATGGGCCCTTGGATCCTGTTTTATAAGTGCCCAGGTGCCACCATCTGGGGGTCCTTTGTGGGTAAACACTGAGTTCCATCCTTGGTCCTTTTCTGGGTAAGTGCTAGGCAACTTGATTGTTTCTGGGTAAGTCCTGGGGGCCGTACCACAGGGCATGCTGAGCAAGCACGGGGGGGGGGGGGGGGGGGGG